AGCCTGGGCTACAAAGTGAGCACAAGGCCAGCCTGAACTGCATAGCGAGACCCTGTCTCAAAAAGACATTTTTTTCCCCTCTGTGTCTCAGCGGAAGTGGCTGGAGCACCTAAGGCCTGGCCAAGGACCTCAGCATGGCCTCACCATGCAGCTGCCCTGGACTCGCACCCACGGGTCTCAGAGAAACTGGACCTTCGCCCCATAGCAGAGATCCACGGTCTAGTTTTCAGGCTGTCTTACTGTTTCATCTGCCAGCTGCTGCATTCTATTGGCCAAAACACATCACACTCCGGTCTAGATTCAAGAGAAGAAGGAACAGACCCCACGTCTTGGGAAACACGATGTCGCAGGACAGTGAGGCAAAGAATCAGTGGTGGCCATCTCTGGAAATCACCACAGTCTGTCTGGTGATACAGATACCAATAGGTCTTCTTCTCTTTCTGTCCTTTTTTTTTCATAAATTTATCATCCTGTTTAAAGTTTGCGTGGAAGAAGCTTTCCTTAATCAGTATATATTCATCATAAGCTTGATGAATTTGGAGACAAATATATACCCAGGAAACAATCACAGACCTACCCGGCATCTCTGAGATGCCGTGTCACTGCTGTCATCTGTGGAGAGCATAATGTCACACGTGGATCTGCACCCTGCCACAGAGCACGCTCAGTAAACACACGCACAGGATCATGACCATCATGCTGTAACTTTAAGTAAAATGAGCGTCAAAGTCAGAGCCGGTGCACATCCTGAAACTCCTACTAACGCAGCACATAGTATTTTACTAGATTTTTGGTTTACTTTGAGACAGGTCTTACTATGTAGTCCAGGCTGGCCGATGTTTCCTTATGAGGTGATTAAAAGGTTCTAAAATTAGATTAATGTGGCCAAGGATATAGCTCTGCGGTGCAGTGCCTGCCTGGCAAGCCAAGTCCTGAGTTTGATTGCTGGTACCAAAAAAAAAAAAAAAGATTAATGTGGTAGCTCACAACTTCATAAATATATTAAAACCACTGAGTCATAGTTTATGGCATATGAATTATATATCAAAAACCCTTTTAAAAATACAAAATACAGCCAGGTACAGTGGTGCATGCCTGTAATCTCAGCGCTTGGGAAGCTGAGGCAGGAGGATCACTGTGAGTTCAAGGCCAGCCTGGGCTGCATAGAGTCCAAGGCCAGCCCAGACTATCTAGTAAGACCTTGTCTCCAAAAAAAAAAAAAAGGAAACATTATCAGTCCTTCCCCATAACACTCTTTCCTGCTGGACAACCACTAATCTACTTTTCCCACAGATTTGCCTATTCTGGACATTTCACATTAATGGCAACAGGATCGCATAAATGGAATTATACACTGTAGCTTTTAATGACCGGCTTCTTTTACTTAGCATCGTGTTTTTTGAAATTCATCTGTGTTGGAGTATCCCTCAGCGCTTCATTTCTTTTTATGGCTGGAAGATATTCAGTTGCATGGATAGACACATTGTGTCCATCAGCGGATGGACATTTGGGTTGTTTTTTTTTCCTTAGTGTTGTGAATGTGGACACGCATGGACAAGTTCTTGTGGGGATACATGTTTTCAATGCTCTTGAGTAAATATCTAGGCGTGGAATTAGTGGGATTAATGGTAACGCTTGAATCTTCACACAAGCCACTGAAATGTCCAGAGTGGTCACACTGTTTCCCATTCCTATCAGCAATGTACGAGAGCGCTTGTTTCCTTTGTCAACACTTATTACTGTACACGTAGCATTTTTAACTAGACTTTGACTTCAGTATTGAGTTGCTTTTGGCTGATCCCGCAGGTATGTATGTGTGATGGGCTCAAGTAAGGTGTAGGCTTTCACCCCACAAGCGTTTATTCAACACCTGTGGTGTGGCGGGACTAGGGCAGTAGGGTCCACTTCGCCCCTGGAGGTCCGGTCTCACGGAGGTGGATGTGCAAATGGATGGCCCCCGCATCCCCCACTTGTGGGCTCAGGAAGAGCCAGCTTGGGAGCAAGAGGGCAAAGCCCTCGGTCCAGGCGACACAGGAAAGTGTTCGTGGAGCAGGGGACACGAGTTCAGACTGGAAAAAGGAAGGATAGTGAGGCGGGGAGGAGGGCAGGCTGGGACGAAGGGAGCTTGGGACGCGGAAGCAGAACTAATGCCTGCCTCGAAAGTTCGAGCACCTGGGGCCCTTGGAGAACAGGGCTGCCGGGAGCTCCCTAAGGACGGGACTGCGGCATTGGTCCAGGAAGCAAGCAGAGACCCAGAGGGCCTCGTGCTCCAAGCCAAGTATTTCATTTTACCCCGGAGTCGCGGTGCTGTGGACGGGTTCTGAGGCGGGAGTGACCTTTGGGAGGTCACCCTGCGGGAGAGCAGGAGTGGGGCGCTGAGGGCTCTGCCTTGACCTTGATGAAAGCTGGTGCCAGCCGTGTGGGAATCGGGCCTGTGCACGCACCAGGCTTTCGGGGAAGCTACCATTGCAAAAGGCGGCACCACAGCCTGAAGGGACTTGCAGAGTGGCCGATGCACAGGGACGGCAGGTGGCCCGGCACCATACCTGAGCACATCCTCCTGCCTCTCTCGTGAGCAGCCTACCCTGGCCCCTCGAGGCCGCCCGCGCTCCAGTGTGGCCCCAGGTACAAGGCCCAGGCGGTCACACCCAGCCGGGTTGCCAGTTTCACCTGCTCTCCACGGAGTCCCAGCGCTGCCCTGGGAGGGGGCCAGCATTTTCTCCTTCGTCCGGTGGCGTGTGCTGGGGCTCTTTGCCTCCTGGGGTCCTGTGTCCCCAGAAATAGCACCGGGATTCTGGCCCTGGACCCAGGACTGCACGGAGGCCCTGACTGGCTTGAAGTCTTCCTTACAGGAGTGACAATGGTGCCTGTATTTTCAAACAATACCTTTGTATTTGATTAGTTTATACGTTCCTTTTGAAATAGCTCAAAAAAATAATCCTCTCAGGACAGAATCCCCATGGCAGTCATTTAGCAAATATCAAAAGGCTAAACATTTTAAGCCCCTTTGATCTTTCTTCGTTTCATTCTTGAAACTGAGGGCTGGCACAAATCTTATGTGTAAAACCCGGGAGATTTTGCATATTACATTCAGATTAACATATCGTCATCCCAGCAGCTCTCCTTGTGTCGCTTTGCACACACACTTCTTCTGGGAGGTTACCTCTCTTCTGCCTTGGCACACTCTAGAGAAGTCCCGCTTGTCTCTGAACTTGAGTTTAGATCACGCAGTGTATATACGCGGTTTCGTCTGGCTAGTTTTGTTCAGTGTAATGTGTGTGTGAGTCGCAGTGTTCTTACCTATGCTCCCAGCAATTGCCCGTTTTCATTGCTGTGTGGTATTCTGTTGTATGCGTCCACCACAGCTTATGTATCTGGTTTGCCGCGAATGAACTCGTGGGTTCTTTCTAGTCATTGCCTGGAAAATATATTTAAAGCTAATATGCACGGGCTGGGGATTTAGCTCAGCGGCAAAAGCGCCTGCCTGGCAAGCGCAAGGTCGTGAGTTCGGTTCCTGGTACCGGAGAAAAAAAAAAAAAACCAAAAAA